ATGGTACTTACTTCCTAAGAGGTGATGAACTCAAGATATAAAATGAGATATATTATTGGACATGACCAAGCTAGAATTTGTTTTGCTTGACTATCTTTATTGTAGGTTTTTCCCCCCATTTGAGGAGTGGTAGAAAGGAGAGAAAATAGATGATTGTTAGTCAAAAAATAAAATATAAAAAAGGAAAAAAATAATGACTTCAGTTTTGTACATGTTGAGTTTGATATGCCTGTGGAACATCTAGTTCAAGATGTCCAAAAACCATTTAGTGATGCTTGACTGTAGCTCAGGAGAGACTAGAGCTGATTATATAGATCTGGGAATCATCTGCACAGGGATAATAATTGAAACCAAATGTGATAGTATAGAGAGAAAAGAGAAGAGAGGGGCCCAGGGAAAAGCCTTGGGGGATACCATGAGTTAGGAGGTTTTACTTTCTCCTCTCTACATGACTTATTATAGAATGAAGTTAAATTGGCTTGGCATGCCATATTATTTGGATACTTCCTCAGTCGTTTTCCCTCCCTAATCTTCAATCTCTCCCCATCTTACTGGTTGCTTCTCTACTGCCTTTAAACATGTTTGTCTCCCCATCCTTAAAAAACCTTCACTAGACCCTACCATCTGCTCCAGCTAGCTTTCTATATCTCTTTTCTTTCTCATTACTCTTAGGAAAAGCTGTTTCTGTGTCCATTCTTTTCACTCATTTAGCCTTTTGCAGCCTGGCTTCCAGTTTTATCACTTAAGTGAAAAAACTCTTTCAACTTTATCAACAATCTTTTAATTTTCAAATCTAATAATTTCTTCTCAGTTCTTATTCTTCTTGACCTTTTTGATGTGTTTGATTCTGTTGACCACCCTGTCTTCCCGTATACTCCTTTCTGGATATTGTCTGTTTTCTGGGTTTTCATGACACTGCTCAGTACTGCTGAGTGCTGAGTACTTGGTACTTCCTGACTACTCCTTTTCAGTGTCCTTTGCTGGCTTATAATTCATCTTATGCTCCCAACTGTGAATTTACCCTAATGTTCTGTCCCGAGTCCTCTTCTCTACGCTCTGTCTTCATGATTTCATTAGCTCCTTTAAGTTCATTTGTCATCTCTATACAGATGACTGCCACATTTACATATCCAACCACAGCCCCACTCTCACTCTTGAGCTTCAATCAAGTCATTAGAACATTAGAAATTGTATTTTCCTGAGATATCTACAATTCAGCATGTTCAAAACAGAAATCATTACCTTTTCCCCTTCCCTCCACAATCCTCCTTCCTTGTTTCTTTTGAGGACACCATTCCTCTTCTAGTCTCACCAATTTATAACCAAGACCTTTTGCACCCTACATATCCTGTCAGTTACCAGATCTTGTTGTTTTTACCTCTACATCATCTCTTGGCAACTGACCTCTTCTCTCAAACAGCTATCGTTTTAATTTAGGTCACCATCACCACTCACCTGTACAATTCATTGATTGCATTGGCCTTTGCCTCAAGTCTCTTCCCCACTCTTCGGTGACTCTGGAGGAGCAAGCGAGACTGCTAATTTTGCATAGCTCTTCCCCACTGATACTAAATTCAGACATTGAAGATGCCAAGGTTATCCACTGCATCCTGAGCCATCACTGGTCATCCTGACTTTTTTTTGTCACTGTAATCCAATGACTCTGGAAGAGAGAGTGAGGCTGACAACTTTGTACAACTCTGTCTAACTTAAATCCAGTTCACTCACAAGTCAAGACTTCACCCTTGTGATGTCACTGGTTCTCTTCGTTGTTGTTGTTGTTTGTCCTTTGTTCTTGAAGAGGACCATGACATCAGGGAAGTGATGCCATGACATGCAAGTAAATTGGATTTAAGTGAGAGAGGGCTATGCAAAGTCACCAATCTCACTTTTTCCTCTAGGTTCTCTTTGAGAACAAAGGACAAACAACAACTCCCCACTGCAGTCTATTCTCCACAAAGTTGCAAATGTGGTGTTCCTTAAATGGAAATCTGACAATGTCAGCTCTTCTCTCTCCCCCCATCCCCTGCTCACCAAACTCCAGTGGCTCTCTATTATATCTAGAATAAAATATAAACTCCTCTGTTTGATTTTTAAAGCCCTCCATGTCTTGGCTCCAATCTGTCTTTGAAGAGTTAATATACATTATTCCCCCTTTTCCACTTTACAGTCCAGCCCAACTGGCCTTATCTGTTTCTCTCCCTCTCCTGTCTTTCATGTACTGGCTGTCCTCCATGACCAGAATATATTCCCTTCTCATCTCTGCCTCTTAGAATCTCTTACTTTCTGCAAGATGCAGTGCAGGTATCACCTTCTAAAGAAGTTCTTTTCCATTCTTCTAGTTGATGGTGCTCTCCTTCCCTAAATACCTTTTATTTATTTTTTTGAATTTATTCTGTATATATTTTATATGTATTTATTTTTATATGTATTATATTACATATTATATAGGTGTTATATTTATATGTATTTATTTTTATATTCTATATATATGTAAATATTTCCCTTCTTAGAATATAAGCTCCTTGAGACTAGAGATGGTTTCATTTTTTTGTCTTTGTATCCCCAGTGCCTAGCATAATATCTGGCAACATAGTAAGTACTTAATAAATGCTTATTAACTGAATATGAAAGTCACTTTCATTGCTACCTAAAATAACATAAAACAGCTAAATTAAAGTTTTACTTTTGCTAGAATTGTTCTCTTTGTGTCTAGGACTTTTTAAAAGTCTTCTTTGCTTTTTTAATTCTTTAGCCTATTTTTAACTTGTGGTTCCATTAAGTGTAATTTTTGTCCCTCTGGCAAATGCATATTGTAATTTTACAAATGTAGTTGTGATTTATATACATAGGCAGTGGGGTCTGTACTAAAGTTCTTGATATTATCCCTTCTTAGCAATGCTCACAGTCTCTTTCTTTATGCAATTGTATGGTGATATAAACAGTTACTTTTTAGTATTGACATTTGAATGTACTACTCTAAATCTATGATCCTCTGATCAAAAAATGATATAAAATGTGATTTTAGGCACTGGTGAAGATGATTTACCTATAGGTTGAAATTATAGAAACAACTAGGCTATAGAGAGAACTTAAAGTAGTGAAGTGATTTTTTTCATGTTTATATTAGGACAATCTTTGGTTGAAAACTAAGCTTTGGCCCCGTAACAAAAGGACTTATTTTGAGTATCATTTAATGAGTATACTCAACATAACTTTTTATATGTTTACTCTTAGTTTCTATGGGAATAAGAAAAAGATTAAAAATAAAGACAATCTTACCTTCTAGTTATAAATTTTAAACCACCACTGTACATGCTGAAGAACACTTCTGCTGAGTAACATTGTAATATCAAGAAGTGCAAATTGGTGAGAACCAAACAGAAATCAGTAGCTAAATGCTGAGCTAATACCTGGTGAAAGTGAATAGCGAGTTAGAGTCAATAAGCTAAGTAATAGGACAAGGCAATTTAACACACACACACACACACACACACACACACACACACACACACACACACAGAGTAAATGTATATGTGGGGTGTGTGTGTGTTTTGGTGATAGTCGGAGGTTCAGGACAACATATATCTGGAAAATAAATTTTGTAAATTTTATATTTACTCATTTAGTAATACATTTAATTAAAGTGTTTATTTTTATTGTAATAGCTGTTATATAAATTCATAGAAAATGATCCTACGTAAATTTCATGGGTTGATGTTGGTTCCTATTTCTTCTGAAATTGTTGATATGGATCTATGCTTGAATCTTAAGTTCTTGGAAAAACTTCATTTTTTTTAGGGAATTTGAATGTATTATATTTGTTATATCCAGTTTAAATTGTGAACCTTAAAGCCAACATTTCAGAAAAGGCCCTTTACTAAGGTTAATTTAAATTAAATAGGTCTTTAGAGAACAGAAGCTTCTTCGTGTTGTAACTCTCCTTGCAGTATAGGTGCATGGGGGAAGGACAATAAACCAAAATTGAACTCTGGTTTTAAAAAAAAAAAAGGAAAGGAAAAAAAGTAAAAGAAAAAAAGAAATTTATAGAATTTGGGAACAATAATAACCAAATCAAATTTTAGGTTGACAGTATAGAAAATGATACATTGGATCCCCCCTACATACATATGCCTCACCATTTCTACGTTAATTATACCTTTCCCTTGAAAGAGTTAATTATGCTAGTTTCTTTGCTTAGTTTTGAGTCGCAAAACTGATTTAGTTCTGTTTTAAACTCTAGTTGATTTTATAAAGCATCTGGTTGGCTGAGAGGGAAGAAGTTTAGAAAACAAGGAATAAGTGTAACAAATTTATGTGTGATTTGTGAGTTTCTGAATTAAATACTGATAACACAACTAGATTACCCTGATTTTCCCTCCCATTGCTGGAAAACTTGATTGCTGTGTACAGTACCATTTCTTCTGAGTTTGTTTCCGTGGTTAACCTTGAGGTTTTTTTGAGTTTCTACAGTAAAATTCAAATTAATGATATTAGTGCTGGACAATGGAAATTATTGTTATAGAATGCTTATCAATGAAGTTATGGTTTGCACTACACTGTTATACTATATATTTTTACATTTTTCAGTTTTTATTTTTATGATTAAAAAAGCAGCAAAGAGAATTTTAGTCTTTCATTTCATAGGCAAAGGTCAATTCTACTGCTGGTGGGTTGATTAAGATGATTTTATGTTTTAAACTTGAATTCTCACTTACCTTTTTCAAAAACATGAAATTCAAAGTGATGACATAAATATGTATTGGTATCCATAAGTGCATATAGTCATTTCATCTCTGACAAATTACTGTATATTGAGAATACTGAACCACTTATAGTGAAATTATTCTATAACGTAAAGCACTTATTTTGAGATTTAAATTTAAAACCTTTAATGGTCCCACAGTCCATTAGCTATAACATATATATGTATGTATATATATATATACAACTGTTGAAAAACTAATATTAAATTTGAAATTTTTGCTTTTTTTTGTTAGAATTATGACATGCCATGATGCCCAGTTCTCCAGAGCAATAATAAACATTGACATGCCTTGGATTAGTTAGTTGATGACCTCTGTTCCTACTCACTACGAAGATAAGTTTATTACATTTGGAGTGAACCATTCAAGTGGCCTAGAATTTTCAAGATGACTGATCCAATGATGGATTTTTTTGATGATGCCAATCTTTTTGGTGAGACCTTAGAGGATTTGTCAGATGATGCCTTTGTACAACCAGGACCCGTTTCACTTGTTGATGAATTGAACTTGGGTGTAGAATTTGAACCTTTGCACATAGATTCATTGAACCATGTCCAGGATACTCAAACACCACAGAAGATGACTGATTTTGAGCAATTAAATCAGTTTGAGTCACTGAAACTTCACCAAGTTAATCAGTCATTCAATAGCCCAGTTGAGAATGTGTTATCACCACATTCTCAATTTAGTTGTTCACCAGTTCACCCCCCAAATCAGTCTAATGGTTTGTTTCCAGATGTAGCTGATGGCAGTCCAATGTGGGGCCATCAGACTAGTGTTTCAAATCAAAATGGGTCTCCTTTTCACCAACAAGGACATTCACATTCTATGCAGCAAAATAAAAGCTTTGTAGCACACCCTGACTTTGCCTTATTTCAAGTCAATGAACAACAACAACAGTGCACATCACTACAGTCACAGCAAAACAGTAATAACCCAGGGCAAGAAACTTTAAGCCAATCTAAAAACTTTATGGAAGTTAATATTTCTGGTCCACATAGAATTCATGTTACCCACCCATCTCAAATTACCAGTGCATCAACTTCACAACAACCTCTCTCCATGCAGCAGTTTTCTCCTACATCAAATGCCTCAATGCACTTTTGTGGCAATCACCAAGATGGGAATTTTAATGGACAGTCTCCAAATATGACTCCTTGCTCTGTCAATAATTCACAACAGTTTTCTTCGCATTATTCCTTCTCCAGTAATCACATATCTCCAAGCAGTCTTCTTCAGTCCTCTACAGCCCTTGCATCTAGTCATTCAACTCATACTTTATCTGATTTTACTGGAAGCAATGCCTTTATAGCTCAGACGGGAAGCAAACAGGAATCTACCCCGCATATCCTAAACTCAAATACATCTTTGAATTCAAATAATTTTGAAATGTTGCATTCAACAAATCCTCAGGGTAACTTCAGCAGCTCAAAATTATCTCCTGTGCACATGAATTTCCCAGATCCTGTTGGTCCTGCTTCTCACATGGGACATTTCAATGATCATGTAGAAACAAATGGTTTTTCATCTCTAGAAGATAATTTACTTCATCAAGTAGGTTCTCATACTGAGACATTCACAGGACTAGATCCAGAAGATCTTCTTCAGGAGGGTCTCCTTCCCCAATTTGATGACTCAACATTTGGGCAAGATAGTTCAAGTCATGTCTTAGAACATGACCTTGATCAACAACTTACTCCACAGCTTTTAACACAACCTCCAGATGTGGCTCGAACGCATTCTCACAGTCAAGTTCACTCATGGCATTTGTCAGTCTCTAATCATCAACACTTACATGACAGAGAACATTCATCTTTACAACACCAGGTATGTAGCTTTCAGCTTTTTTTCTTTTTTAACAATTTTTGGGCAGTGTACATCTTACATTGGGTTTTAATAATTTCTTTTATTTCTCAGAAGCATTCAGTATCATTCATTGTTTCTAGTTTTTGTTTTTTTTTAGTGCTCAGTTACTATTAAATGAATGTGTGAATTTTATTGTCATAACTTTTAACTTGGAAATGATTCATTGATTCTCTCATAGCAGTTAATACGCTAAACTCTTGGCATTTACTGTTTAGGAAAATTTGAAAGACGTAATTTTAAGACTTTACCTTTAGTTTTCATTTTGTAAGTGGATTATATTAAGACATTTTATCACCTCTTTCTGATATGCTGTTACTTAATTAAGAATTTGTAAGGTGCTTACATGTGATGTTAACCTATGAGGTACCATGAATTCTAAGACATCCACACACACACACACATAATTTTGAAATTAAAAAAAATCACCAATTTTTTTTTTATTTTTAAAAAGCAGTGGTGTGCAGCAAAATGTCTCAAACTGTGTCTTTCCATGGGTTCCATTAAGTTCTAGGTCGAGTATGAATGAAATTTGTAGATACAGAGTTAAAGAATTATTTAAATGAGACAAATGTGCCCCTCAGTCATCCTTAACATTTTTTTCATATGATTTCAAGTTCTGATGTTTTTGTTTCTGCTAAAGAGTTTTTAATATTATTTTGTTATCTTTACACAAGGGAATTCGGTGGAGACTTGATTAAATGAACATCAGGCATAACAGTGAATAGAGCACTGATCCTGTATTCAGGAAGACCTGAGTTCAAATGCGGCCTCGAACAATTACTAGTTGTGTGACCCTGAACAGTTCACTTAACCTTTTTTTTGCCTCAATTTCCTCATCTGTAAAATGAGGATAGTATATAGCTCCTACTTTCCAAGGTTGTTGTGAAGATCAGATGAAATGTAAATCAAATGTAAAGCTTTTAGCACAGTGCCTGGCACATAGTGAGTGCTATATAAACGTTAGCTATTATTATTAATTGATGTAGACACAGTTTCTTCACTAGTTTGACAAACCATTCCTCCCCACCCCCAATATAATTAGAAGTTGTTGAACTTTAGGTTTTGCAACCTTCTTTCTTAATTTTATTTTTCTAATATCTTGTCCCCATTTTAGTTCATGCTGGGCTACTATTTGTTTATACATGTTTTCATAGATAATAAACAATAAATAATGAACACTCTGAGCCTTTTAAATGTATAGGATTTATTGAAAGAAACTTGTAAGGCATTTTCTTAACTCTCTGTAGCAACACCTATAAGTGAACGTGCTATTTAGGAGAAACAACTCCTGGTTAACAAGTCATTGCTAGAATCATTGCACTCCCTAATAGCTGTTTTAAGCACTATTTTGGATGTCTCTGTATATAGGGTTGAAGAAAAAGTAGTTCCTTAGGAATGATTAACTGTACTTATAAGTCTACCCCATTTTATTTATAATGTTTGATTTTACTTGGGGCAAAAAAAAAAATAACACCAGGTATAATGGAACAGCAAGAATCTCAAGAATCTAATTATTAAAAAAAAAAAAAGAGTGCCCGTGTTATGCAGTAAAACACAGAATTTTGCTACTTTAAAAAAGATAATGTGGAGTTGTAGAGGTTTAGAAAATTTAAGTATATACAAGAAATGCAACTTATATGAAAGAAATGCATATTTAAGCATATGCATATATATTCTATCATTTCTTATCAATTTTTAAGCAAAGGAAATTTTGGAGAGCATAAGGCTTTATATTTTGCCTTATTTCTTTTTACTTTGCAACATCTTGAGCTTATGAAATGTAAATAATTTTAGAGACATTGTGAGATCTGCTAAGTTTGAAAAATATAAGATTTAAGATTTTTTGTTTAAGTGCTGCAGTGAAAATGGCACATGGCATAATCAGGATAATAGAAATAGCTATCAAAGCACCAAAAAACATTTTTAAAGTCTACCCATCCCTACAACTTTGATAGTCATTGGTCACTTCTGAGTGTAATGCTTTCATGTGCTTGTCATAATTATATTTTTCCCATTTATTCTGAAAAAATGAGTTATTAAAATGTTTCTCATTACCTAAATCCTTTCTAAAATTTTAGAGAAAGCAAATCTGAGCAGCTTATGATGAAGTAAAGTATATTTTTTCTTTTATTGTGGTGGGAGGTGGGGAAAGGGATAGGGTAACAGTCACACAGTAAGGGGTCTGTGAACTAAAAATGATTTAAAATGTGCCTACATTGTACTGGATATGTTTATCCAGTAGACATGAAATTTTTTTTTTAGTGCTTACATGGGCTTTAAATTTAAAATGTGGAGATGTTATATTTTGTTTTGCTTTTAAAGTCATCTTCATTCTTGGGATCTTTGTACTTCATTGACTTACTTCAAAGAAGCTAAGATACTATAAATACTTGAGTTAGCTTATTAACTGTCAATAGACATTAAGTTCCTGCTATGTTCAAGAAACCATGCTACGTGGAAATACATGAGCCTTTTGATTCTAGAAAGACTTCTGACTGAATGATTTCATTTTTTTGAGATGAACTATAAAGACTCCAAGACCAAATCCAGTTTATTTCTTTTTAAGTCACTGTATTGATGAGGTGGAAACTTGCATTATAAAGCTTCTACAAATGAAAAGTCAGTACCTTGTTCTCCAGCTTTCTGGCACTTTTTGCAGTGGGTCCTCCTTTAAAAATTGCCCCCCCGCCAACCCTCAAATAACTATAGCTTTCAGAGCTGATATGACATCTTTTAAAAGATTGTAGTAAAAGAGTAAATAAAAAAATCAACTACATAAAGGTTAAGGGAATACCTGATAGCTATCTTAAATATTTAAAGGACTATCATGTAGAAGACAGAGTTTTGTTTGCTTCAAAGGCCAGAATTAGGGTCAGTGAGGTAGGCAGATTTCAAGATGAATCAGAATCAAGATCTAAAATGATTCTGACAGGCTAGAACATTTGGCCAAACATAGTAGGATAGAATTTAATAGGAATAAGTCCAAAGCACTTTACTTGACTAATTTCACAAGTATAATATAGGGGAGGCATATCAAGATGGTAGTTCATTTGAAAAAGATCTGCAGGTTTTAGTGGACCGCCAGCTCATTAAAAGTGAATAGTATGTTATGACAGTCAAAAGACAAAACAAAACAAAAACTAATGTTAGGCTGTGTTAAGAGAGGCATTGTAAATGCATCCAGGACCAGGGAGTTGATAGTACAATATCGTATTCTTCCCTGGTCAGACAACGTTGAGTGTTGTGTTTAGTTCTGGGAACTTCATTTTAGGTCAGATAGTGGTAAACTGAAAGTATTTGGAGTAGGGTAAATGGGATGGGGAAGGGCCTTGAAATCATACTGTATAAGGAGCAATTGAAGAATTGGAGTTATTTATGCTGAAGAAGAGAATACTTGCTGAGGGTGGGGGGTAGGAGGATGATTAGCCATCCTCAAGTATCTGAAGGGCTGCCAGAGAAATTAGACAAGAGAGATTAGAATTGTTTTGCTTAGCCCTACACGGCATGACTAGGAAAAATGGAGGGATGTTGCAGAGAGGCAGATTTAGGCTTGATATAAGGAAAATTTTCCCAATATTTAGAACTATCCAAAAGTGGAGTGGCTGCCTTGGAAATTAATGGTTCTCCTGTTGACAATAGAACTCTTCAATCAAAAGATAGAAAGTGCTGTCTTCATGTATTTTATGGCTTTTAGATTTAGAACCAGAAGGGACTTTAAAGGCCATATAGCATAAGTCCCTCATTTTATAGAAGAGAAAATTATAGCCTAGAGAAGTTAAGTGACTTACCTGAAGTCACACTGGTAGTAAGTAAAAGAGATAGAATTTGAACCTCATTCATCTGACTCCAATGCTAGTGCTTTTTCCACTGTACTACTTCCTCAGGTGATTCTTATTCAGTTATGGGTAGATGATTGCTAAAATCTTTTCCAACTCAGATTCTGTGATTCCTACCATTTAGGATTATCAGTTGAAGAGGATACCTTGTGAAGAGGTAGGAGCTTCCTATTCCCACAAATTCAAATGTAGGCTGGGTGACCATCTATAAAGAATTTCTGCATTGAATTAGTTTGGAGAAGTAGATTGATTTAAGACTGTTCCACCTCTAAAATCCCATGTTTCTATGATTCTGATTTTGTTTCAGTAGGTCAAAATAATTGCTAAAAATATATTTTATGATATTGAAAGGATATTGAAATTGAGTCTGAGTAAATAAAGTATAAAAATCATTAATCCACATTGTTGGGGAGAAAAGTGGTGTGGTTGAATGAATTTTCATTATACTTAAAGCTTGCACTTAATCATCACAGTTTTTAAAAAAATTTTAACTACTTTTGATGGAAATATTATTAAAATGTAGGATATACCTAAAATATAAGTGTTTTGTGAATACTCAAAAGATCTGTTAGCATAAGGATTTCCTTCCACCAATCCAGATTAAAACCCATCTAGGATTTTGTAGTTAAATCCTAATGAATTGCCTAGGAAGCATAAAGGTCAGCCCAAGGTCACACAGCTAGTACGTTTTAAAGGTTGAATTTTAACCTAGGTCTTTCTGACTCCAAGCCTAGCATTGTCCACTGTGCCATGCTGCTCCTACAGTAAAATGAGAATACTATGAATATAATTTAGCCCTTTTTTTTTTTTTAGGCTAGGCAGTGGGGTTAAGTGACTTGCCCAGGGTCACACAGTAAGTGTCAAGTGTCTGAGGTCACATTTGAACTCAGGTTCTCCTGACTCCAGGGCCAGTGCTCTATCCACTGCATCACATAGCTGCCCCTAATTTAGCCTTTTCTTAATGACTGTGTAGGTCATAGTTATGAATGTTAACTCATCATCAAGTATTTACTTTAGTGTCTACTGTTTGCAAATGCGCTAGAATATCAACCATGTCGCTATACTATAATACATCACTTTATTCAGGGGCTATTGGCAGACTTACAGGACTGTTTGTTCTTTGTT